TATATTTCGTATTTACTTTGATGTAAACTGCACAAATAAAATAAATTAATTTTAATATTAAGAAATTTTTCAATTAAAACGAAATCATTTTTAAATTAACTTTTTAATTTTATTAAAAACTTTTTCAAACTTTTAAAATTTTAACTAAATAATATGAAAAAAATTTTCCCATGAAAGGGAGAGATCATCAAAAAAAAAAAAACCTTATATTTATTTTACTATTATTATTAATTTTTTATGTACAATAATACAAAATTTAAATAAAGTTATTTTATTATAAATTTGACTTATAAAATATAATAATAATGTACAAGGTCTCCAGATAATATAATTGAAAAACAACCTTATTATATACATGTACCTTAAAGGTTGATTGCCGTATATTTTGTTACTCGTATATATAAAAACAAATTTTTTTTTTTTTTGCTCAAACTTATTAATTTAGACTTGCTGAATCTACACATTTCCTTGCCTACACATTCATATACATATAATATATGTTTATATTTTGTTAAAGAGAAATTATTAGAGAAGGTTTCCTTTGATTTATCCATAATTCTATTTTGTTTACTGTATTCTACAATATTATAAAAATCAAATTCGTATATAATTTTTTTTATAAAAGAAAATGATAAAGGATCTTTGACCTCCTTTATATAACTTGTTTGTATGTTGATTGCCCCAGCATAAATATAAAGAGAATTGAAATAAAAAAAAAAAAATCTCAGTTTTCATATAATAAAAAAGCAAATAAACTTTTTTAATAAATTGAGTTGCCTATACAAAATAAGGGAGAAAAAAAAAATAGAAAAACAAAAACAGAATAAAATTTCAATTTTTGTTTTTATTTTTTTCACATTTATTTCTCCATCTTATATATGGTATCTCTTTTGAAAAGTTTTCCAAATAAGAAAACCAGAATTTTTCTTTAATAACAAAATAACCTTTTCATTATTTTTGTTTTTTTTTGTCAGTTTGTTGGCTCTTCACGGTATAATGTAGGCGTTAAAATGATATCTAAACAGTTAAAAAAAATTTTTTTATATCTTTTACTTTTATTTTATTTTTTTTTATATTCAGAATTCCCTAAGGTGATTTCGACTTATTATTTTCATCATATCGGTGTCTAAATAATACAATATAGTTGTTTATTTCATTTCTTCTCTTATTACACTGTTTTGAAAATATTACTAACTTAAACTTTTTATTCCCATATGCATGTAAAATTGTATGTAAAAGAGGTAAAGAATTTTATATATAATATGTATGTAGGTACACAACTAGAATATTTTATAAAATCAAAAAATTAGGTAGAAAATTTCATATTTTCGCAAAAAAACAAAAAAAAAATTAGCAATAAAAAAGAACAAATATCTTTTGCACCTTTTTCATAAAAGAAAAAACAACAAAATTGTTGATCCTACGTTTATGGTTTTATTATTATTAAGTGAAATAAAATAAAAACAAATTAATTTGATTGTATATTGCGAAAAATTATAAAATGAAATGTTTACGATGCTATTTTTTGCTTTAAAAGTTCAAAGTGGAAAATAAAATGAAAATATAATTATTACATACATTTAGGCGAAAAATAAAAATTCAAATTATTTTCAATATTTATTCTATTGTATTGTACGCGTGTATTCAACCATTCGCGTTTACTTGCGTATGTGTTTATTATTTTTATATTATAAATGGAAATGTTACGAGTAATATACCCCTTTTAACCTAACCGCAATAAAAACAGAAATGTTTTTATGAAAAAAGAGAAAAATTTATTTGAATTTTTGAGAACAATAACATTTATATGTTTTAAAACTAAAAAGTAAAAAAAAAACCATTTGTATATGATAAAGTTCTAAGAGAAAAAAAACCCACTCCCAACACGATTTTAGCAACGAGGATCAAAAGAAGGAGACGAGAAAATGAAATTTCTCTGTTAATTATTAAATTTTTTAATTTTCGTATTTTAACAATATTGCCTGACATAACCAAGTTTGCCGAAACTAAAATATCCTTTTAGTAAATTTGTTAAGTAATTAGCGAAATCTGGGGTATTTTTGATAGTCCCTACAATTATTTACAAGTACACTATAATATTTACAATATTGAGTGTAAATAATTGTTTGCAATTACAATATTGAGTAGAAATATTGCTGAGACAGAAAAAGACAATTAAATTTTTTTGAAACACTTTGCTCACATACATACATTAAATATGTATATGTATATACGAGTATGTTTTTATTTGTACCTATAACATTATGTTTACAGAACAAATATGTGTAGGAAGTTTTTTGACAGAATAATTTCCGAAAATATTTATTTTATAAAAAAAAAAAAAAGTTTATTTTTATTTTTCATAATTTTTATAATTTAGAAATATTTCCGACTTAAAAATCATATATACATATATCATAAAGTCCTTTATTTTGCAATTTTAGTATAGGAAAGAAAAAATCATTTTTACCTTCCGGTTATAATGAAAAATTTTTTTATAATGCATATGGAAGGTTCAAAATCATTTCAATTGTCACTTGCCATCATATTTATCTGGATATCAATATTTTTTTTTTTTGCCATTTTTACATCTATATAAATTGAGAATTGATTGTGAATGTCATATTTTTGTTTAAACATAAAAGAGCATTATAATACTTAAGGAAAATTTTCCGTTCCATAAAAAAAAATTAAATATTATGGTAAAATAAATCGGATATTATACACCCAAATTTTTATAATTTAATATATATATATATATATGTAGATGATGTTACAAAAAACAACAAAAAAAAAATTATTTTAAAGATTAATTTGCGTCAGTATTTTTTCATTATGTCATTTACACAAAATGGCAATAATTTGGTCTAAATATTTTTACATAAAATTATTTTAATAATAGTTTTGCTTTTGCATTTTGATTATAATTTTAGGTGACAAATAAATTATTAATTATCGTATGGTATACAATTTTGTAGAAGTAATTCAAAATTAATTGTAGAATATGAAATTATTGTGAACTGATTGTATATTTTACGATTTTTGTACAATTTTAAATTTACATCGTAATTATATTGTGAACAATATATTTTATGGCGGAAACCATAACAATAACATTAATTTTTGAATATTTTAAATATATATATACATATTTCAATAATATTGTCAAGTATAATAGTCATATTTTAGGATTTTAATTCAAAAATAAATGTCATGCCTAAATAAACGCAATAAGAAACACATTCTGATACCAACTAATTTTTTTATTATTTTCAAAATGACGTAAAAAATTGCTCTTCTTAAAAATTTATTTTTATATAAATTTAAAATTTAATAATAATTATTATTTTTAACTTTTTTACTAAAACAAATCTACAAACAATTACAAATTCATTTCTATTAAATAAAATCTAAGAGAAATGAAAAATACTTGTGGGTGCATCATTTAATATTCATTTTTTATTTTTATATTTTCTAAAAATAGCTTTTAGTATTGTAATTTCTTAATAATTGTTATTGTAAGAGTAAGCGGTTACCATGAAAACTATGCACACATTTATGACACACAATATACATTTGAATATAATATGCATTAATTGTATGCTATCACGATACTTATACTAAATCTTTCATTAAGATTAAGTACCATTAATAATTGTTGCTTTTAATATTATTCATATAAATATAAAATAATAATATTTTTTTATATTCATTTAACTAATTATTCCAATTCTCATTGAATATAAGATTTTTCAAATAATGAAAATCCTTTACCGTAACGCAACAATTATTATTGCCATAACAATTTTTATGAATAAAATTTCTTAAGGATAAATGAGTGCCTTAATAATATATATGTATGTATTTATAAGTATGATGAGGTAAACAAATTTAATGGTACGATATGAAATTTTATTATATGATAAAAGTATGAATTAAATTATATGTAGTTATATAAAAACTAATAGATTATAATAAAATTCTGTACACAGTTAATAGTTTCAAGCAATTGTATACTAAATATAGAATAGATTTATACTTCTAAAAATAGGATATTTATGTGGATTATGAAATTATTTTAAAAGAAATTACTTAATAAAAAAAATTAAATTGTTATTTAATTATTGCAATTGAATGTCGTTTTCCTTATATATCGTGTTTATTGTTATAGGGTTTTAAAATTACGTTCTGAGTCGAATGCAATTTGTAATCTGTTGCTTTCCAAATGAACTAATTATACCTACACGTTTCGTATGCTCATGCATTTTGCTATAGGATTTCAAAATAAATTTAGTTATATTTATTAGTATATATTAAAGTGTTATATAAAAAGAAAACTGCTAATTACCCTTCAATTTTTCGAAATTAAGAATATTGTACTACAACAATATTCAACAATGTTTCTATATGTTTGACATATAGTGTACTATTTGACATATCTACACTATTTGACAAATGAATTACTGTTTGACAAATGTTATTATACAATATTATTTTGTCTAAACTAATATATCTAACAAATCATGCCATACTGTTTGCTTGCTAGTGATATAAGAAAATAAATCACAACCACGTGGAAGGTATGGGGAAAAGAAAGTCGAATGTTATTCGTTAACTGAGCTTGGTCAAACACCACCTTTTCACATGTTAGTCAATAATTTTTAGTAACATAGCGCAAATAGAGGAAGTTCTCGTTACTTTTCTTACTTCTTTTACTTTTTCGTTGCATATCGGGTAATTTCGTAAATTTTCTATGAATATTTATTTTCTGTATCCTATAGTATTTTTCTTTTAACATTTTTCCATAAAATTTGTATAATTTTTACTCTTCTATTATTCTTCTACAATTACTATTGAAATTCAAAAGAATAATTTAAGCAAAAAAAAAACAAAAACACCTTCAAATAATAAAAATTTGTATTTAAAATTTTTTCCTTTACATTATACATATATATATATATTGTGCAATTACCATTAATTTTGTTTCTTTTTTATTATAGTTCCAGATCATATAAGACCCCGAGTTTGTTCATTACCTGATCGACCATATAATCCAAGGGTTAGCGATGACTTATATAGATTACGACATTTTTCAATAAGTAAAGGTACTGTTGTAAACTGTGGGGATTCAATTATATCAAGGAGGTCAAGGAGTAATACAAGTGTTAATTCAACAACAAGCAGGTATGTTTATTTTATAAGGGTGAATGTAAAATAAAATGAAAGCTATAGAATGCAAATGTGAATCGTATAGTCTTTGCAATATACATACAAACAAAAAAACATAATGCATTCGAATATTAATTGGATTTTCTTAACATATTTTTGTGTATATCTATAGGGGCTTATACAGAAAAAAACAAAATAATTTGAATTGCATATTCAAATGATTCGTCTATATGTGTATAAAATCTTTATTCACATTATTTATGTATAAATGTATAGCTAAGTGTACTTAAATTCACCTATCATGATTTGAATTTTTCACTAATTTTACGTTTTACATAATACTGTATACGTGTATATATGTAGGGTTGAATGCAAATAATTGATTTGTTCCGGAGAAAAATTTGTCACGAATAACTTATTGCGATGAATGAAAAAGGAGAATTTTTTTTTCATATTTGTTTTTTTGTATTAAATTTCGTGATTGATGATTTATGATAGAAAATTTCTGTTTATTGTACATGAATGAACGAACATTTTATGAAAATGAAAATAAAAAAATTATTTTAGTCATTTATAGATTGCAATTTAAAATTTGTTCTTTCTTGTAGGTCTATGAATTAAAAACGTTTTGCAATTCGAAATGAAATGTACATATAGTTGCAACATTTAATTGCATTTAACACTTACATCAAATTTTACTTCAGGAGAGACATTTAATGAAATTCAGAATATTAATTAAATATTTCAAATTAAAATTTAGAGATTACATTAAAAAAATAGAGTGAATTCATGAAATTAAATTGAATAAGAAAGTTTTATTATTGAAGCGTCATAGTTACATTATTTGCCAAATTTCTCTTTTAAGTCAATTCTCAATTTGATTCTCATCAGTTCGATTTCTCAATTTGATTTTAATTTTAAACAGTAATTTCTTTTAAATAAAATTTTTGTATTTTTCGACTGAGTTCTTCATTTTTCCCAATTAAATCTCTCATTTTTTCTCCATATTAAAATTTTAGAGTATGGGCTAAACATGTAATATCTTAAAATAAAATTCAGAATGCAGAGAGAGAGTAATTTTATATAGTGAAGAGAAAAGGAGATAATTTAACAAATATAATTCTTTTCACTTTACAAATTAATTACATGATAGTAACTGTTATATGTGACATATATAGTTTGTAATTGAATAATGCATAACAAAACATTATCGTTATTGAATATTTAATTTGGATTGAATATTACTTTGGCTATGACACGAACAAAGTGAACATTTTTACAGGTCAATTTTACATTTTTGAACATTTCTAAAAAGTAATTGATAGGTGATTTAAAAATTTTATATGTAAGCTTCGTTTGATAGTACGGGAAACCATTTAGGTTTTGGAAAAAATTAGATGTAAACAACTGAACTTTTACTACCAGATTTACATTTTAGTGCATATAAAAAGAAATAATCAAACATAATGAATTTGCAGTGTTAAAATAATAAATCTATAAATTTTTTTTGGGAATATCAGGTCACTGATACTGAACTGGAGGCCGATTTTACATTCTTTACCATATCTAAGGAATTGATTGGAATTTTATTTAAGGAACTTTCTTAAAATTTAATACATTATTAGTTCTATTTGCTACCGAATCTAACTTTTCAAAAAAAAGATATACTCGTTTCATATACAAAATATTTCCGGAGAAAATTCAAAATATTTTACACTAAGAAATATTACGAACAAATCATTAAAAATAAAATTTTTTCTTTTAATTTGAATTTTTAATTAAAGAAAACATTTTAAGGATTTTATGATTTTAAGTTTTACATAAGAAAAATAATGAATTTTCCCATGAATCATGAATTAATTCAAATATTTTATATAAAGATGATGATTTTTCAAAAGTTTTCTTAGAAAAGGAATCTAAATATCAATGTATATACCCATGTAGTTTAAAAAAACCTTTATGTATACTTATGTTAGATGACGCGTTAAATACATTAAAATTTTTATTTTTATTTTTTTTCTGTTTCTATCAAAAGTAAATATTATAAATGATGATAAAAGAAAATTATTTTCAAAAAAAAAAAAATTACAATACAAGTTTTAATAATGTCTAAGACATTTTGTAATAGAATTTATTTTTTTTTTTTTGGGTATAATACTAAGTTATTCATGAAAATATACACACATGTATATGTAGATATTTAGGAAATTGATAAGTAAATTACATTTAAATATTCATTCACCATTTAAATATCTTTAAATAAAGATTATTATTGTATAATAAGAATTATATGTGTATATGCTTTACAGCAAATGTGTATTATAAATTTTCTGAATTCCCAAAATATAAAATGAAATTTTAAAAGTATTTAGGAGTTTTTTTTTTTTTCTTTCATTTCGTTTCCATCTTAAATTTCAACACACGCGTATATTAATATTTCTATATATATTTTATTATGTATAATATTTTCCATTTATTTAAACATTTTATATATAAACAAATTTAAAAATAAGTGAGAGCGATGATTTCTTAGGGAATTCCAAGGATATAACATATTATGTGAAATGAGAAAAAGAAAAATGTATAATAATTTTAAAATGTAATTTAAATAATTTTTATAATATTTTTAAAAAAATTTAAGAAATTATTTTTTTTAAATACATATATAAATATTTATATATACGGTTTACAAGCCGCTATATTGTTAATAATGATATTTTTCACTACAATTTTTAATATATGTAAATTAAGTAGATTAATAGATGTAAAAATTAGGAGAGACGCAATTGAAATCGAAGTAGATTTTACAGAGATTCCAAAAACTCTTACTCTATTTTCTTTAATTTAGAAAACAAAATTCTTTTAAAATTTATTCCACAACTCATTAAATTTGGATATTCTTAATAATTAAGAACTTGTTTCAATAATATTCCAGAATTTTAAATATAAAAATTTCCATGCTTCTATTCAACTTTAACAGGCTTAATTAATCAATAAAAAAGAAATAATTCTAATATATTGAAAATTATTTTATATATTTAAAAATAAAATCAATTTTATCATTAAAATTTTGTTTACTAAGTAAATAGAATTTTCAGAATTTCTAAAATCAATTTCTATTTTGTTTTTTTTTTCCCCCTATAAAATAGCTCCCACCCATAAAGAACACCATCCCTTGAAAAAAAAAATTTCAATATTTTAAATTGTAATTATCGCGAATTGAATCTGATTATTAAAAAAGTATATTTTGTGGAATATTTAAAAAATTTCTAAAAAAAAAATTAAGAAAATAAAAGTATAAATAATTGTTTTTTTATTGTGATTAAAATATTACACATAGAAGAAATCTCAATTAACAAAAAAAAAAAAAAACAATTTTTTTTTTTATTATGTTCAAAGAATAATTTATAACGATTAAAAAATTCAACAGCGCGTTAATAAGTTTTTAAATTGAATTTAAAAGGAAAAATCAAATAAACAAAGGAAGAAAACAGTCAGAAATAAAAAACCAAAAAAATATTAAATTCCATCCGAAAAAAAAAAACATTATTGTTTCCCACTGGGAAATTTTACTTTAATAATTTTTGAAGCTGAATTAAATTTAGCATCGTGGTTTTTATTAAATGTATTAAAAATATATTTAACATGGCATAGGATGCCGATTTAGTTAGAACGAAAAACAAAAAAACAAACTTGGGAATAACAAAAATGCATACATGTTGGCGAAAATTCCATATACATACACACATACATTCATACACAATTGAAATAGAAGTTTTTTTTTTTTGCAGTATTAGTAAAGCAGTATAAGTATTTCTGGTATTTAGTTAAATAATTATAATTTTATTATTGTATGACCAAGCCACATAATTATTATTTTATTTATTAATTAAAATTACAGACCTTAAGCGTTTAGAAAATTTAAATGTAATTTGAAATTCGACATTTGCGTGCAATGGAAATCCGTTTTTATATTCTAACAAAAAATCTATACATATATTTATTACAAATGTCTACTAAAGTACTAGCGTGGTGGTCTATAGTTAATTTTACATATTCAGCAATACAAATGAAGTTGAATGTTATAAGTTTGCATCCATACCGTAATTGTTTTTAAATAAAAGAGCTAAAATGTTTTTACATTTTTTACAGTTTTTAGCCGGTTAGATAAGTGTAAGTTGAATGCGTTTCTTGTGTTTTTTTAAAACAAATTTCTTATATTAAAGACAAGGTTCTATAATTTAAATGATCTTTAATGATTAATTGAATTTTCTTCTTCACCACATGAAAATTTTATTAATCTATTATTTTTCCTTATTTTGACAGAGTAGATCTTTTAATCTTAGTCTAAATATTGTGAATAGCTTCAATTGATTGATATTTTATTTAGTGAATTAGAGTATTAGTGAAAAACAACTGTTAAAGGAATAAATTTTCAAAATTTAAGAAATATTGGTAATTAATAAACAGATTTAAATACTGTAAAATTTGGAATATTAAAAAAAATTTTTTAAATTTTTAATGAAAAAGGGTTTTAAACTTACTCGCATAATATTTTGTAAAAACCTTTTTGAAATGTTAATACATGTAAATAATTGGTCATATATCGAATTCCAAGAAAATTTTCTTGTAATTTTTCATATAAAATTCATTTTGATTATTCAAATAATAAAAATTTATACGCATCTATATACGAAAGAGATAAAATTAAAAATTAAATTTTTAACATTTACAAAAAACCATTCTTTAAATTACTTCAAAATCAATTGTACTTGTCCTTGAACTTTTCAAAAAATTTGTTTATTTTAAAAGTGAATTGTATGTATGTATTCACATTTATAAATTTACAGATATATTAGTTTTTTGGCAAGGATTTTCCCAAATACAAAAACTACTTACAAATTATACACGAAATAAAAATGAAATAAATGAAAAAATTTCAAAAGTAGCTTTAAAATTATCTTCAATTAAATGAAATGTTCAAGTTTGTATATATACTACTATATATATATATT